ATTTTTAAATGATTTTTTCTGGGTCCTATATAAGGCGTGGATTTTTTAAATGATTTTTTCTGGGTCCTATATAAGGCGTGGATTTTTTAAATGATTTTTTCTGGGTCCTATATAAGGCGTGGATTTTTAAATGATTTTTTCTGGGTCCTATATAAGGCGTGGATTTTTTATATAAATTTTTCTGGGTCCAATATAAGGCGTCGATTTTTTATATAAATTTTTCTGGGTCCTATATAAGGCGTGGATTTTTAAATGATTTTTTCTGGGTCCTATATAAGGCGTGGATTTTTTATTTAAATTTTTCTGGGTCCAATATAAGGCATCGATTTTTTATATAAATTTTTCTGGGTCCTATATAAGGCGTGGATTTTTAAATGATTTTTTCTGGGTCCTATATAAGGCGTGGATTTTTTATATAAATTTTTCTGGGTCCAATATAAGGCGTGGATTTTTTAAATGATTTTTTCTGGGTCCTATATAAGGTGTGGATTTTTAAATGATTTTTTCTGGGTCCTATAAAAGGCGTGGATTTTTTTAATGATTTTTTCTGGGTCCTATATAAGGCGTGGATTTTTAAATGATTTTTTCTGGGTCCTATATAAGGCGTGGATTTTTTATATAAATTTTTCTGGGTCCAATATAAGGCGTCGATTTTTTATATAAATTTTTCTGGGTCCTATATAAGGCGTGGATTTTTAAATGATTTTTTCTGGGTCCTATATAAGGCGTGGATTTTTTATATAAATTTTTCTGGGTCCAATATAAGGCGTGGATTTTTTAAATGATTTTTTCTGGGTCCTATATAAGGTGTGGATTTTTAAATGATTTTTTCTGGGTCCTATAAAAGGCGTGGATTTTTTTAATGATTTTTTCTGGGTCCTATATAAGGCGTGGATTTTTAAATGATTTTTTCTGGGTCCTATATAAGGCGTGGATTTTTAAATGATGTTTTCTGGGTCCTATATAAGGCGTGGATTTTTAAATGATTTTTTCTGGGTCCTATAAAAGGCGTGGATTTTTAAATTATTTTCTCTGGGTCCTATAAAAGGCGTGGATTTTTAAATGATTTTTTCTGGGTCCTATAAAAGGCGTGGATTTTTAAATTATTTTCTCTGGGTCCTATATAAGGCGTGGATTTTTAAATTATTTTCTCTGGGTCCTATATAAGGCGTGGATTTTTAAATGATTTTTTCTGGGTCCTATATAAGGCGTGGATTTTTAAATGATGTTTTCTGGGTCCTATATAAGGCGTGGATTTTTAAATTATTTTCTCTGGGTCCTATATAAGGCGTGGATTTTTAAATTATTTTCTCTGGGTCCTATATAAGGCGTGGATTTTTAAATGATTTTTTCTGGATAATCTGGATAATCGGATAATAAATGCGACCTGTACTTTGTTAACAATTTAACATGGACAGACTGTCAGACGGACATGCATAAATCGACTCAGAAAGTGATTCTATGCATATTCTCAAAAGGACCCATGGGTCTATCTCGATTCTTTTTGCCTGTTACAAACATATGCACAAAGACATAACACCCTGTACCACAGTGTGGTAGAGGGTATACAAATATTAATTAAGCTTTCAACGAATACATGAACGAAGTTATCGGAATGGTAAATATGTAATGGGTCAATAAATATAAATGAAATGCCTTTAATTCATTGAGTAACCACAACAGGTTCATAGACTATATACAAATATTTTATACAAAATCCACGCCTTATAATTGGTCCCTAAAATATTTTTTTACAAATTTCACAGCTTTGGTTGTCCCCTAAAAATAATCTTTAAAAATTCTCACCTTATGTAGGTCTCCAACTTTAGTCTTTAAAAAATTCTCCTCTTATATAGGACCCAAAATATATTCTTTAAAGAATTCTCCCCTTATGCAGGTCCCTAAAAAGTTTTCTTTAAAAAATCCGCGCCTTATGGTAACTTACTTACTTAGCTGGCTTGTGACAGAACTTTCGTTCCATAAGCCGAGCTTAGAAAAGATTTCTAGGCACGTCAGTCTTTTGCGCAGTTTTTCCAATTTGAAGACTGGGGCATCTTCATCCATTATCACAACATGACCTAGCCAATGTAGTCGCTGCAGCTCAATACGTCTAAAAATGTCGATGTCCGAGAATAGATGGTACAACTCATGGTTCATTCGACGGCGATATTCACCGTCAACGCAGATCGGCCCATAGATCTCTCGGAGAATTTTTCTCTCAAACACTCCAAGAGCTGCCTCATCTGCTTGCGTAAGTACCCATGCTTCAGATCCGTATAACAACACGGGTAGTATCAGCGTCTTGTAGAGTGTGAGTTTGGTCTGGCGGGAGGTGGCCTTGCTTTTTAGTTGTTTGCCCAGACCATAGAATCGGTTGCCATCACAATCCTTCTCCGAATTTCAAAACGAGGTATATAAAATCTTTGACTACCACGAAGCTGTAGTTCTCAAGTTCCTCAGTTGGTCCGAGTCTACTGGACGTCTTGCGCGTTGATACCATCAGCTTGGGCTTTTCGCCGTTTACTGTCAGTCCCATATTGGCAGACTCCTTCTCAATTTGTTCAAAGGTGGCTGTTACCGCTCTCAATGTATCGATGTCATCGGCGTATGTGAGTAACAGAGTGGCATTTCTGTTCACCTTTGCCTCTCGTATGACCAGGATGAAAAGGTCATACGAGAAGCAAAGGTATGACCTTTTCATCCTGCTGGACACGATAAACTGTCAACTTGTCTGAATCCTCGTTCGGTATTGAAGGGCTCCGATAGGTCCTTTCCGACTGTAACTGCTGACCTTGTGCAACTTAAAGTTATCCTGTATAGCCGTATTAATTTTGCAGGAATACCGAACGCTGTCAAATGCGGTATTATAGTCGAAGAATAGATGGTATGTGTTTTTCGTGGGTCTTTTCCAGGATTTGACGCAGAGCGAAAATCTGTTCAATGGTGGATTTGCCAGGTCTGAAGACGCATTGGTATGGTCCAAAAATGTCATTGACTATTGGCTTCAATCGTTCACACAGCACACTGAATAGCACTTTAAATACGACGGGAAGAAGGCTAATTCTTCTATAGTGGGCACATATCGTCTTGTCTCCGTTTTTGTGCGTGGGACATATGATGATGAGGTTTCAATCATTGGGCATGCATTCCTCTAGCCAAATTGTACTAATCAGCCTGTTCATTTGATCACCAGTCTTGAACAGTACGGCTGGTAGCCCATCGGCTCCTTCTGCTTTATTGTTCTTTAGCCGATTGATTGCTATTCTGACCTCATCTTGGCTAGGTGGTATATACTCTATACCGTCATCTATTATTGGTTCTGGGGTATTCTCTTCACCGCCACTATTTGATACCAGAAGTTTTTCAAAATGCTCCTTCCAGATCCTCAGCACACTGTGTGTATCTGTCACCAGGTTTCCTTCTTCATCTCTACGGGAGGATGTGCCTGCACCAAAACCTTTGGTTTGGTGTTTTACTTGTTGGTAAAATTTCCGCACTTCATTCTGACTCATATACATCTAGATTTGCTCACACTCATGTTTTTCTTGTTCTTTCTTCTTTTTTTCTGATAACACGTTTCTCCTCTCTCCTTTTCTCCCGATAATTCTCCATCACGTTACGTGTTGCTATTGTCTGCAGAGTTGCCCTATACGCTGAATTTTTCACATCAGTAGCATTACGACACTCCTGATCGTACCACGGGTTTCTTGATGGTGGTCTTTGGTACCCAAGTGTTGCTTTTGCTGCAGTATGTAGGGAGTGGGCAATTCTCTGCCATTGTGCTTCTATATCATTATCGGACACGGGGTGCTTTCGTCAAGCAGTTGGGTAAGTTAAGCGGAGTAGGCTTCTGCTATATGTTGTGTTTGCAGCTTTTCAACGTCAAATTTCCGTGTTATATTAGATCGAACCTTTGCTGCTACATTAAGACGGATACGTACCTTGGCTGCCACAACGTAATGGTCGGACGTCTAGAACACTGGTTGAATGCCTTCCTTCTATCACAACATGATCGATTTGATTGTCGTTGTTCGTTTGGGAGAAATCCAAGTGGCCTTGTGTATATCGAGATGCTTGAAACTGGTGCTGCTAACTACCATGTTTTTTGCTTCCGCAAAGTCAATCAACCTCATGCCATTGTCTGATTTTTCTTCAGGGAGGCTGAATTTTCCGACGGTGGGGCCAAAGATATTTTCCCTTCCGATTTTTGCATTAAAATCTCCTAGCCTTATGGTAACTCTTAAAAAATTTTCTTTAAAAAAACCCACGGTTTATGTATGCCACTAAAAAGTATTCTTTAAAAAATCCGCAAAAGTATTCTATAAAAAAATAATTTTTAAAATATTTAGAAAATTAATTTTTAAAATATTATTTTTTTCATGTTTTCCCTCCCCCTATTCTTAGTTTCAATACTGTTTTCCAATTTCCATTAATTTTCTTTTTTTTTGCGTTTTTCTTATCTTTACAGTGGTGACAGTTGAGTAGCAGTAGGCGTCACGAAATAAAAGATAAAATTTAAACACCTCAACATCAAAGAAAAAAAAAACTACAATAAAAATATTTTACTAGAAAAAAATTTACAACAACAACAAAATTAGATAAAAGTGTGTACAATTTTTTTGGAGCAAAACAATATCTGCCATATAAAGGAATTGTTTTTCAAGAAAAAAAAACTAAAAGAATCGAAAAAATAAAATAAGAAAAAAAATTGGAAAACCAACCAACAACAACAACAAATAGCAACAAAAATCATGAACACGAAACGTGTTGCACATATAACTGTCATCAAATGACAAATGCTTGACAGCATCAATCAGCAACAAAAGCAGCAGCAAAGGCAACGGCGACTAGAAAACTGTTGTCGTCTCGAAACGTCGCAAAGGTGGCAACAACAAATGCAACATAGTTTTATTAACAATAAAATATACAACAACAATAAGAGAAATAATATTTACAACAACAAGCCCGAGAGAGCTACAAAATTCAGACGTCTACAAATTATGGCCGGCGGTTTTCGTAAACGTGGCTGTCGTGGTAACCAAACTTGGTGTCTGCTCAAGGATTCGTTAATTTTCGTCCTGATTATGTGTGTCCTAATGCAACATCTGCTGGTGGTGGCGAAGGCCAGTGTAATATCGGCCAGTACAATAACATCAACATTGTCGGGACCCATATCGAATGGTTCCCAGCTGAATGAGATTTCAAGACAACTGCGTAACAATTTAGAAGAGAATTTATTGAATTTCAAAATACCAAGAGGTAGTCAAGAGGAGGGGGAAGAGGACATCCCAGGACTAGTTGCTGATGACGATGAGGAGGATGATGAAAATCAAACCAAAGAAGAATTTAGTATAATCGATGTAAATAAAATACAAATAGAGGAGAAAATTATTTTTAAAACCAAGGATTTTAGTAGAAATTTAAATAACAACAACAATAATAAAAAACATCAACAAAGTCAACAGAATATGGTCACAAAGGACCAAAAGAAAAATAAGACAGGGGAAAGCCAACAGGAGCCACTGGCTTATAAGGCGGCCATCGAACAGAAGTCTAAACTGGAGGACATTAGCAACAACTCCCCGGTAATAAAATCCACTGCCATGGAGAATGGCAAAACATTAGCCCAAAACAATAACAAAAACAGTTCTGCCTCCTCCCCACCCCACTCCACAGTATTACCCACCCTCGATGTAAATAACACCACCCCGAACTCACCCCCTAAACAAAATTCTCCACGACCTTTGGGCAAAGTCCCCAGTAGCAGCAGCACCAACAAAGGAGCGGATGGTGTTATCTTCCCCCATTTGTATGGCATTCGTGAAAATGTCATGCTACCCTCCGAGGATCCCGAACGGGAGGCTCAAATACTCTATGAGAAAACTCTAAAGGAATATCATGTGAAAAATGCCATTCATGAACAAAATCAAAACCAAAACAAAGCGAACTCATCAGCAACGTCCTTGGGTAAGGATTCAACAGCTTCATCGTCCGTGTCGTCGTCATCATCATCAAATGCCAGTCACTCGTCGGATTCATCACACCAACAGCAGAGGACATTGCATGCCGTCTGTGAGATATGGACACAAAAACATTGTCACTGTACGGGTACACTGGGTAGGCTGTCGTTGAGCTGTCGGAATATAGGGATATTAGCTGTGCCCATGGATTTACCCAGTGATACGGTGTTACTGTAAGTATAAATTCTTTCTTTGTTTAGGAAAATTGTCATGTGTGTTTAATAATTGTTTAAAAAAGTCTACGCCTTATTTAGACCTTTGAAAAAAAATTTAAAAAATCTACGGCATATAGATTTCTCTTAAAAATGTTCTTAAAAAATCCCCGCCTTATATAGACCCAGAAAAATATTCTTAAGAAAATCCGGGCCTCATATAGACCCAGAAAAATATTCTTAAATAATCCACGCCTTACAGAGGCTCTGAAAACTATTCTATTAAAAGTCCACGCATAATAGAGGCCTCTAAAAACTTTTCCTTAAATCTACGCCTATAGACCCTTAAAATATATTTAAGAAATCCACAACTATGTAGAGATACGTAAATTAATTAAAAAAATCCACGGCTACGTATAGACCATTAAAATAATTTAAAACGTATTTTTGAGAATCCAATGAAAAGCACTTTAAATTTAAAACCAGTAAGGAAAATCAAAAGTGGGACGGGGCCGGTGAAGACTATATGATACCCTTCACCATTTTGGGTACATACATGAGATGCTCATATGTACAATATTCTTTACATAGAATATACATAGCATCTATGAAGGACCAAATCTATCGGACGAAATTAACTGCGTACATATATATTTGAACAAAACTAAAACTACCCATACCATACCAATCTGAAAATTATGAAAAATTGAATGGTCCTAACTCAGTACGCTGCGCAAAATTTTGAGCGAATCGGTTTAAATTTGACTCTTTGGTGCTCCATTCACATAAAATCGGACGAAACAATATATAGGAGTCATATCTAAATCTGAACCGATTCCAAAGAAACTTCGCATACATCAATCTGGACCTAATTCAGTACTCTGAGCAAAATTTTGTCTCAATCGAACCAACATTTTCAGTATGGTGCTCCATTTACATAAAAACGGACGAAACGTTGCATACATCAATGTGGACCTAAGTCAGTCCTCTGTGCAAAATGTTGTCCCAATCGGATAAATATTGGGAGTTTGGTGCACCATTTACATAAAATCGGAGGAAACTATATATGGGGCTGCATCTAAATCTGAACCGATTTTCACCAATACATGAGCTGTGCTAAATTTCATCCAAGGCGGACATGCATAAATCGACTGTCCAGGCGGACATGCATAAATCGACTCAGAAAGTGACTCTGTAGATATTCTTAAAAGGAACCATGTATCTATCTTGTTTCCTTTTACCTGTTACAAACATATGCACAAAGATATAAGATACTGTACCACAGTGTGGTGAAGGGTATAAATACAACATATCAACACTTCGAAATAATTGGGAAAATGTATATGCGAATTTTGTAACACCAATGCCGAGATCGGTAAGAATGCCTGAAATAAAAATAATCGAATGAAAACCTAGTCACAATCTAGAGAGTGTAAAATCGGCCCGGATTTACAGGATATTTGTGAGGGTTTGCCAAAGACGTGTATTTTTTAAAGGAGATTTTTAGGAGGTATAAAGGCTTGGATGTTGTAATGAATATTTTTTTCAATAGTTACCAAAGGCTTGGATTTTTTAAGGAATATTTTTTTGGGGGTTACCAAAGAGTTTTTATACCCTACACAACTATGTTGTCAGGGTATTATAGCTTTGTGCAGCCCCAAGAGTTTGTAACGCCGCGAAATATTGGTCCTAGACCCACCTTTAAGTATACCGATCGTCATATCTCGACTAGCTGAGTCGATCTAGACATGTGTGTCCGTCCGTCCATCCGTCTGTCCATTATAATTTGTCAACACGATACAGGCCACAGTTATTGACCAATCTTCACGAATTTTTGAATGTAGGACGGGTTCTGGTCAATGAAGACCCCTATTGTTTTTGGTAAAGGTCGGTCAATATTTAGGAGATGAAATGGACCAAATACTTAATTGTTGTCGGTTTTTCTGGTCGCTCCAGAGGCCGCAATTATAGTTCAAACATCGCGAAATTTTACATGGAGAAGGGGATCGGGCCAAAGAATAAGCATGCCTGTTTTGATAAAGATCGGCCAATATTTAGATGGTCAAATGGACCCTGACTTTTGTGTGAAAAATTACAAAATGTTTATTCTGGGGCGTATATACTTGCTCGTGAAGGACATATATCCGAGAAGTTGATAGTATATCTAAGAGGAGTTGTTGACCTTCAAATTGATACCAATTATATAGCTGTATGACTATGTGCATAGTATTACTATTACTCCATTAGAAGACGGAAATGTCTCGCAGATCGCTTTGAAGTTGTACATGAAGTTGCGATTATGGTCAAGGACGACGCCTAAAGTTTTCGGTGAAGTTGAGATTTCATTCGAGAGTACAATGAACCGAAAACTTTATCCTATGTCCCAACAGTGATCCTATGTCCAAATGTCAAGATTCCAGCTTTATCGGTTCGCCCAAATCCAAATTTGGTACCATATAGTACACATTAGTACGAATTTCCAAATTTCATACCCCCCTTGGTACACCCCAACAATGATAATAACACAAAATTTTAGGATCGCAGCTCTATTGGTTCACCCTAAATCCAAACTGTACCAAATTTAGTACACATTAGTATGAATTTCCAAAACTCTCTGGATATTTTAATACTACACCCCAAAAGTGGTTCTAGCGTCAAATTTCAAGATTCCACCTCAGTCGGTTCACCCACATTCACATTTGATAACATTTAGTACACACTTCCAAAACTTCCTACATCGGTTCACCCATAATAGGCATTTCCAAAACGTAGCTCAATTCTACCCCTAATGGTGATCCTAAGTCCAAATGTCAAGATTCCAGCTATATCGGTTCGTCCAAATCCAAATTTGGTACCATATAGTACACACTAGTACGAATTTCCAAAACAAATATAGTACCATTTAGTACTCAGCGTACATATAAGTACAAATTTCCAAATCGCTATCCTACACTTCGACGGTAATGTTAATTTCAGGAATCCACCACTATCCGTTCCTCCAAATTCAAATTGTACCAAATTTTGTACCGTTTAGTACTTTTTGTATAGATGTCTACACACTTCAAAAACCACCTGCTTATATCGACCCTATTGTTAACGAAATTGTACCAAGTTTAGTATTTTTCGGATACCTATAGTTCAAATTTCCCAAAAAATCCTCGGCTACATATATTCTACACTCCGTCAGTGACCCTCATTTCAAATTTAAGAGTTTTAGCTCTACCGGTTCGACAAATACAAATGGTACCACATTTAGTACTTTTCTGGTAAGAATATCAACAGAAGAAACCTAACTACCATCGTCTTAAAAAATATCTAAAGTCATTTTTTATATAGAAACTCATTCGTAGTTCCCATAGATTCTTTCATCTAATATTACGTCTATAATAGGAATTTTGTGTACCTCCACAACAATAAATTTATGAAGTTTCAAAATAATAAATTTGATCAGATCTCGACCAATCTCCTTTGATGTGAAACAATTTTATTTCATTCAGTCTCGAAAAAAATATAGGTGTGTCTGGAAATTTATTTTTGTTTATTTTGTTACAATTTGTGTGTGTGTCCCATTTTCAAAAACTTCCCTTCCCACACAAACAAAAAATATTAAATTGTACATTTAAATAAATGTTAATAGTTTTTCAGCATTTTGGTTTAATTACTTAATTTGTATTTGTTCTTGTGTGTTGTCTGGTTTGATTGTCACTTGTTTGTTCTTTTTCAATTTTACGCCAAACGATTAACAAGCGTTCCCACAGTCATAAAAACAAAACGCTCGCCAAGACAACCATTAAAAAGTATCAAAAATTAAAAAAATACACAAAAAATGTTTTTGTATTTCATAGCCATAATCACTCACGTTTCAAAATGTTCGCAACTACTTGACACAGTAGTGTCATGCTGTGCTGCCTTCCACCCTGCCAACCAGCCATCCTCCCTGCCAGCCAGACAGCTTTGCCATTGTAAAATAGACTCTCGTACATATTTAGAACTGTTAATTGTCTGAAATACACAACCAGGCAACAACATAAACCACCAGCAGCCAGCAGCAACAACAACACTTAATGAAGAACCCAACAAAAAATCCATAAACCTCCCCACACCCCCAACAACAAACTAATTGCCAACATTCGGCAATTACCTACAGCAGAATCAGCAACAACAACCTGGCAGGCAAAAGTTGCCAAACATACTCTACTCTAACTAATGACAAACTATTAATATAAAAAAAATCATTGCAAACAAACAACAACAGCATAAACACTACAATTTTTTATATAAAAAAACAACAACAAAATCGCACACCTCAAATACTCACTTACCTATCGTGTTGCATATCACGTCTGGTCTTTCAGCGAGTGTCTGTGAGAGCGAACGGCACACACTACGGCTGAGAAGCAACAGCAGCAACATGGGCAGAGGCAGCAGCAACAAAAAGATTCCACACCATTTCCACAATTCAGGGGCTACCATAAGGCGTGGATTTTTAAATAATATTTTTCAGGGGCGTGGATTTTTAAATAATATTTTTCAGGGGCGTGGATTTTTAAATAATATTTTTCAGGGGCGTGGATTTTTAAATAATATTTTTCAGGGGCGTGGATTTTTAAATAATATTTTTCAGGGGCGTGGATTTTTAAATAATATTTTTCAGGGGCGTGGATTTTTAAATAATATTTTTCAGGGGCGTGGATTTTTAAATAATATTTTTCAGGGGCGTGGATTTTTAAATAATATTTTTCAGGGGCGTGGATTTTTAAATAATATTTTTCAGGGGCGTGGATTTTTAAATAATATTTTTCAGGGGCGTGGATTTTTAAATAATATTTTTCAGGGGCGTGGATTTTTAAGGCGTGGATTTTTAAATAATATTTTTCAGGGGCTACCATAAGGCGTGGATTTTTAAATAATATTTTTCTGGGGCTACAATAAGGCGTGGAATTTTAAATAATATTTTTCAGGTGCTACCATAAGGCGTGGATTTTATAAATATTTTTTTTTGGATTTATTAAATATTTTTT